CTTCGCTTCGGTTGCTTCAGCTACCCGCGTCGGCAGAGTGAAAGGGAAGGAGAATGAGCAAGAGAATGAAAATCGGCGAGATAGAGCGAGAAAGAAGAAGGCAAGCCGCCTCCTATCGATTGGGCTTTCTTTCCGACCTCGGCTTTTAATTGGCATTCTCCTGTGGCGAGAAGAGGAGCGAACCTCCATGGGAGAGAGCTCCTCTACGGCCCAAAGGGGTGCTTTGCCGCTAAAGGGTTTGATATCGGCGATCTTTCCTCCCGAGATGTAAAAATGGAATCTTTCTACCGGGATACGCTGATATCGGTTCTCACGATGAGATCTTGCAAAAGTCCGGCGTGATGTACGAATTCTCGCGATATGATAGATCGAATAGTATAATAAAGCGCTCATAAAAGATTCATTGAATTTTAGAGAATTTTATTAGATTTAAAGATTGTTAATTTGTATTAAGATGCAATCAATAATGCTTCTGTTATAAGTAGTTGTAGACTTAAATATTTTATTGTTGCATAATATGAAACTTTTCTATAATAAAATACATATTACTTTTTTCTCATATTTTGAAAGAAATTTATAATAAACGAACCAAGAGAGTTAATTAATAATAATAATGATAGAGATCCGCACGTGCTAGAATTTATATTTTCAGTTATTAATTCTAAGTTGAAAGTGATCATGTTATTTTTTGTTTACTCCAAGATATTTTTAAATCAAAATATAATCTTGTTCAATCTCTTTAAAATGATCACCGACAAATTCATCCTAATTTAGTACCGAGAATAAATCGAATAAATAAATGAATCATTAAAGTCTAATTTTTACAAAGTTTGCCCCCATCAACGATATACATCAAGGTAATGGATATAGATCAAAGGGATATCAGAGTATCCCAACGTAAACGACAATTTATATTTGCGTTCTCGTCGTTCACGTGGAAACGATAATACGACGGGGGGAGGGGAGGGGTTGAGAAAGGGAGAGTCGTGAAACCACGAAAAGCGAGAACGTGAGTTTCGACGGCCATGACGATCTCATACCGACGCATCATTGGTGGACAGGCTACGAAATTAATACGAAGCAAACGGCCATCTTGTCCCTGTACCGAATCTACGTACGTATAACGAAAAGGGGTTCTAATGTGCCACGGTGTATGGATATCGGAGAGCCGCGCGTTACTCGAGTCACCGCGTCCGTGCATACACTCGCACGCGGACGCGCGCGCAAACGCGTGCGTATACATACGTAAGGATGAGAAAGGCCGGCGGAGACGTGTGTGCGTGAAGATTGATTATACCGCGGGAGAAAATGTGATCAATAGCTCAACAAACAAAGGCCTGCCGACGCCTATATAATGCAAATAGCAAAAATCGCGGAGGATTAAGGGGGTTGCGAAGGGAGGAGACGCGCGGGATCGTGAAAAGGGGTGGCGGGAGGAGATGGCGGAGGGTGGTGGTGACGGTCAAGAAACAATGCGGACGCGCGTGCGGCTACTTCAAGTTTGCTTGACACCACCGCGCGCAGGCAACCCTTGCGCGCACCCTCCGTACCCTTCGACTTCGCACCCTACTACGTTTCTTTCCACCGAGTCAGCCCTCGGAGCTCACCGTTCTCCGCTTTAATTTGCATACGACCGATCATGTCTTCCGACTCGCCTTCATATCCTCGTCGTCGTACCTCGCGACCATCGATCAAGCCCCGATTGTTTTTGCTTCAACTCACCCCCTTTCCCCTCATCTCGCTACCCGGATTGGACGCCTTCATGCTGAGGATTGCTCGTTGGTCACTACCCCACACGTACATCTCTTATGCGCGCATATCGAATTTGTGTGGCCCCTTCAGCAGCCGAGAATCTCGCTAACGAGCGGTTCTCCTTCTACCGATGACATTGTTCCAAAGTAGAAAATTTGCCAACATTCACGCGCCATCTCCTGTCGTCGTTCCTGGCGATAATTCTTGGCTTTTGCTCTTTTATCATGATCTTTATCTCCTATGACTTTCTTCATGATACCTGAAATAAAAAATAACTGATTAATATCGTTACATTATCTCTTTATACATTTTCATTAATATTTTTATTAACTTTAATTCTTTATAAGTACTTAATTATATATTTATAATTTTATACATAACGCAGCGATTAATGACTATTATTCTTATAATCAATATTAATTAAACGGTTGATTTGTCATAATTGAAAAATTAATCTGATTTCATAGAATTCCCTCGATAGAAGTAAAATGACTTGGAAGATGCATTAGAAATATTATAAAATTAGTACATCTATATGAACATATATTCATCAGACAGATTAAAAAAATTGAGTTAATCGCTTTATTATAAAATTTATGCAAAATACGCGAGGGAACAGGAGTATGATTTATATATGAAAAGTTACCTAATATACATACAAATCTACAGAGGTTGTTAAAATATATTGCAAATTGGTATATAATTACTGTAATATAAAAAAATACTTTAACGTCGTATATGTATAATTAACTAAGCATTTTGCATTGCGTCTATATATATATATTTGATGTATTATATCACACATCAGCGTTTCCTTCATACGAAACACATATCAGAAGAAAATTCAAAGTAGATTCTGCACTCTTCAAAGCGTCACTTATAGTTCGCTAATTGAAGAAACATACAGTCACATCTTGCATCGTGAACGTTGATTCGTCGTTTTATTCGCATCGTTAAACAGTAGTCACAAAAGAAACAGGAAAAAAAAGGGGAGTCGATAAGGTGAGTGTCCGTTACGTGAAAAAAAAAACACACAACGTCAAGTCGCCGCCGTATTTATCGTAAGTTCGTCGATCGACGTGGTGTTAATTCCACCTGTCCTTCGTTTCAGGTTTCCCTCATGGCGATAACCTACCCCATCGCCGTTAATGGCGGACATTATTGCGAGCGATCGCGGCAACTTCGGAAACTTATCCCTATATAAACCCACCCCCGCTGGCAGCGACCACCCCGTCCCTACCTAACGGCATATCGAACGTCAATGCGTACTTATCTACACCCGCGTCGGTTCTTACCTGTATACTGTTGTGTACATATGACATCGTCACAATACGCACTCATGTTCGCTCGCTATACACATACACACACAACACACCCATATTCATACCTATACAAGTAGAAATGAAGCTTCTGGACGTAAGCGTGTATCGATTATGGATGAAACGGAGGACAATCGACAGGTAGCCGCCCCCGATAAATAAACTAACGAGTAAAAACGTGCAAGTTTACCGCGTGCGCCAAGGCTCTTCGATTTTATACTACCGCGATGAGTCATGGGGTTACAAGGCGCCAGAGGAATGTAGTTAATTTCATTAAATTGTAAAGACTCAATCGATACGTACGGTTATATCTGACACTGTCGTTGAATACAACAGACGACAAATAAAAAAAAAAACACATCGAACAACGATATAAAAATAATTTTTGTTTGTAAAATTAAATTTAGCCAGAAGAGAATCACACAAGATGCGTATCGATGTGTACAGTGCTATCGGAGAGGTGCGAATTTTGCAAAATTGAAGTCGTTGCTTCTCGATTAACCCCCGAAGCACGGAAAAAGAGACGAAGCGATGCGCCTCGGCGAGAAAAAACAATTGATACGATCTCATTCACGTAGCTCGTTGCATCGCGCGCGCTACCACTGTGCGAGCGCATTCAGCTTTAAAATCGTCCCGTCCCCAACCCCCTTTGATCGGTCTTCTCTCTTCCTCTCTACCGTCTGCCCTTTCCACTATGTACCGTATTCTCGCGCGCACGCATCCACGTGAACCCTCGCGGAACACGTGGATAGGTTTCGAGTGCCCACGATTCATTGCGATTGATTGCGGCACAGTAGCAGCGCGACACGATTGCCGTGCCATTCTATTCGCCGCGATAATTTTTTGCCGCCGATTCCGTTATTCGATTCTTTCAACATCCCAGATTCATCCTCGTTATAGAGATGGAAAAACAAGACGTTGCGGTCGCACATTGTAATTATTGCGCACGGATCGATGATGCATTAATGAGGGACGAATCTACTTCGTATACGTCGCTGCGAGCGATACCGCGAGTATAAATGTCATCAATTTTTTGTCCTATGAATTATACTTAATTTTTTTCGAGCAATATAATTGACGTTTCTTGTGATATTTTTAATTCTTACAGTGCTAGGAAATTATCTTTTAAATTTATCTCCGAATTTTATATCTTCCACGAAGACACTATGGACAATTTTAATTGTAAAATAATCTTCGGATCTCTATAGATGAATCAATTTTTCGCGATATTATATATATTCTATTAAGAACAAAGACAGCTGCGCAATCGTATTCATTTTCGCATTAAATTTTGAGAACTAAGTGTCGAAACGATGAGATGGTCGATGACACATGTCATAAATTATTACCGATAATTGGATGACAATTCAACGATTCGATCGATCCGATTGAAACTTTATACGTAATTTAATCCGCGGTAATTACATTCAGAGATTCGCCAAGATTTAAAGTTATCCTCTCTTAAGCGCTCGCTATTGATTTCCGCGTATATATTCCCGATAAAATTAATAAAGAGCTTCTGGTAAGCTCCTTACTAGGTTCGGTTTCAGATAAACGATGCTCGAAGCGAATCGCGAAGGAGGGAGAAGCTCGAAAATGTGATTCTATATTTGCGTCGATGATAATGTAGTTACGTTCCATCTCCATTTAATCGCTTCGAGTCGATTTCCTGATGAGCGATGCGAAAGTACTCGGTGATATTTCAGGAAGTAGCAATTCCCGTGAATTATATCGCGCGATGTCTTCCTTAATGCGGGAAATTTTATCGACGATATCGTTCAATAAACATAACCGGCGCGAGATATCGCGTTAAGGAATATTAATGTTTAATATTTCGTAACCGATTTATACGCGCTTCATTGATTCGCAATTTGCGCGAATACGATTTTATCAGACACTCTTTACGAAGACGGTGTTGCCTTTTTTCAGATTAACCAGTTGGTCGAGGAGGTATCCAGGCTACAGCAGAGTCTGCAACGCCTTCAGGAGACAAGCGCGCAAGCAACGGCGCGGCTCGAAGAGGAACTCGAGGTGCGCAGGCAGCACATCAGCAGACTGGAGAGCAAATTGGAACGGCAGAGGGATTATGATGACCTGAAGCGCGAAATCAGCGTGCTGAGGTCAGTCGACCTCTCGCAGATACCAACCGGCGAACCTGGAAAGAGCTTGGAGCATCTTCTTATGGAGCGCTTCAAGGCGCTTCAGCAAGCCGAGAATCTGAAACCCTCCAACACACCCGACGCACTCGGTAAGTGAGCCAACGATGTATCTCAATCAGGATCATTACATTACGGAAATAGGCGAGGCATTTGACTTTAGGAGAGAATTCGAAAGAATGAGTAAAATGCGAAGTTTTGCAAAGTTTGATTAGCTGATTTTCACAAATAATATAATTATAAAAATATAATAATATAAATAATAATACGTGTATAATTACATTAAACTGTCGATTTATAGCGAAAATAATCATTTTGAAAACAGTGAATATTCAAAAATATCATCTTCAAGTATGATTTATAAAGCTAATCAATCAGAAAGATACATAGAGCAAGTAAATGAAAATGCGTAGTAATATTTACGAGGAAAGAAACGTATCATTCTACTAGGAATTTGTTTTGAATCGAAAACAAAATTATATATATATATATATATAAATTTGATAAAAAAAGAAAAAGGAAAATAACGAGATGTTGGTAGGCCGGTCACACCTCAGCGATCTCGTTTCTGATTCTTGCGTTACCGCTCTGATCTTTGGTCCCCGACTCTCTCTCTTCGAGGCTCCGTCGACGGGCTTTATCATCGAGTAACAATGAAAAGGACACGAGTCACGCAACGCGGACGCAAGAACGCTTCTATAGAATAAACGAGGGATGACTGAAGGAGCTTATCGGAAAAGAAAACAACAAAAATAACCCTGCTTGCCATTGTGTTCGCACTTTTCTCTGACTCTCTCTCTTTCTATATCGCTCCTCTCTTCGTCTCTCTTTCTCTTTCTCTCTCTCTCTCTCTACCTTCCCTTTTTATCTTTCTCCTCTCTCTCTCTCTCTCTCTTTTTTCTGTTCTTTTTTCTGTTTACCTCTGCTCTACCATTCCTGTTTCTCTCTCTCTTTGGCTCTCTTTCTCTCTGTTGTATATCTACTTCTCTCTCATATACATACTTTATCTCTCCGAATCTTGGCTGCTTAGGCTGCACTTTTTCGAGCCACTCTCTCGCTAATACGTATATTAACGTACATTCGTAGAAGATACTAACGCAACCGAACACACGTTAGCCCTCCATCTCGCTACCCCGTAGGCCCATTCTATCTCTTACCGAATGTTCCAAACATCCATTTCTCCTGCCCGCGTAAAGAGTCCTCTAAACCTCCCCTTCCCCCATACCACCATCCGTACACTGCGAAACGCAAACTTCGTGCACGCAAATTTGTGGACGATATTCGCAATATTTGCCCGGGCCGAGCCATTGTTTCGGGGACAGAGTTTATTATGAATCGATCCAAGCTGACAGAGAGAGCGCGCGATGAGAGGGAATGAGAAAGAGACACTCCATATACGCAGAGAGCCAAAGAGATACTGCAACGTGTCACCCCTTCTGAATCAAACCGACCGAGCCACCCTTCTACGTCGTCGTCGCTCGCGGTCCTATCTTTCCGATCCCTCCGCTACTTCCTTCAATCGAGTGAAATATATAACAGAGTAAGTATCGTTTCTACGCGGATGTTCCAAACGCTAAACATCTCATATGTCGCGATTATATATCACAGGAAAATTTTCTTTAGAATTCGGCTCGATTTTAAAAGACTACAATATCTTCCAATGAAATCGCGCAAAGATTGTATTTTCAAAGAGTATATTTTCTTCTAAATCCTGCGATCTTCCGTATTTCTGACAACTGCATTGTAACACAAAAGATATTTTATTCGACGCGACACAGTGGCGCGGTTTCTTGAATCCACACGCGTCATCGCGATCAACATTCTACGCGAGACGGATATATGCTTACATCCGCGATATCTTTTCGGACAATTGACAACGTCTCCACAGTCCTCCTCTCGTTGGCGTCCACGTCGTTCCTCGTTTGCACATTCAAGCGTGGATTATGATCCGATGAAGCGTCGAAAAAGAGAGTCTCGGTCATCCTCACGTCATTCTGGAAGATGATGAAGAGAGTTGAAGTCACCGCTCGATTTCGCACTTCGGAAAGAGACAGCGCGGACGGACTGGCGATCAGAACGGGAACGACAATCCCCATCGCGACTCGAAATTAGGTTGAGTGTCATTTACGCGTGCTGACGGGCTCCCTTGTGTTTTTGGTGGTTGCAGGTGGATTATCGTCACCCCTGCAGCGCGCCTCGACCGCCTCGCCCCACGGGGTCGGAGGTGTGCCACCTACATCCCATGTGTCCTCCCAACAACCACCGCCACCGCCTCCGACAGCAGTCTCTATCCCTCCACGTTCCACCCCGACGCCCTCTTCGGCCACTTCGACGACTTCGAGCCTCCTTTTCCCGCCACCCCTCCAGAACGTCGAGACTTTTGGCTCGTTTCTCGGTGAAGAAATCGTTGCCAATTGGAGGCGGACGTTGGAAAGGTCTATCATGAATCAGCAGCAGCAGCAACAACATCAGCAGCAGCAACAACAACAACAGCAACAGCAGCAACAATCACAGCCATCTCAATTAAGTCAGTTAGCTCAACAGCAACAACAATTGCAACAAGTTCAGCCGCACATGGGTTTGCATCCGCCAACAACGCCAAGTAGTTTAAATCATCTTCCATCACCGAGCGCGGATCCGTCGTCCACCTCGAATACCCCGGCAAAGTCGAATACGCCGATCGGTACGGTGTCCCTGGGTAATTTAGACGTCACCGAGAAGGCGCCAACGCCGGTGTCGGTACACGAGACGCCGGCACCACCGACGCCATCCTCCACAACCGCCTTAACATCACCGCCGAGCTTCCAACCACCACCGACGTCGATGGTGGAGACCAGCACCCCTTCGGCATCTATCAACGGCGGCGGTCTCACCCCCGGTGTGCCGAGCGCACCGCCCCCGAAGAGTCCGGCCGACCAAGAATCATGTCACAATAATAACAACAGCCATCATCTAGCGAACAATAACATCGGCGGTCTAAGTGTTCTCGAGACGCTCAAGAGTCCGTTTCGATTCGACGATCGAACGTATCCGTTTCGATTCGGCGATGAGTTTGGGGCCGCCGGTATGGCCGGTCGGCTGGGCGAATCCCTCATTCCAAAGGGCGATCCCATGGAGGCGAGGCTCCAGGAGATGTTGCGTCACAATATGGACAAGTACGCCTCGCAAAATCTCGACACTCTTCACATAGCGAGGCGGGTGCGCGAGCTATTGTCGATACATAATATCGGTCAGAGGCTGTTCGCCAAGTATGTTCTCGGACTAAGTCAAGGCACGGTCAGCGAGTTACTAAGCAAGCCCAAGCCCTGGGACAAGCTAACCGAGAAGGGCCGCGATAGCTATCGGAAGATGCACGGCTGGGCTTGCGACGAGAACGCCGTATTGCTGCTCAAGTCCTTGATCCCCAAGAAGGGTAAGTACCGATCATCAATGTTCCAGCTCTCTCTTTCTCTGGCTCTCCGTTTCTCTCACTAATATTATTATTTTTTTTTATCTCAATCGTTTCGTACAATTTCTTGACGCGTTTCTGCGTAACGTCCGACACGACGAAGGCTGGTTCGCCTGACGTCTCGGTGTCCATGAAGACGGACGAGACATCGTAATTACACACATTGTGACGGGATAGCTGTGGCAATCGTGATTAATTTCGCTTCCTTCTACGCCCCCATAAAACGCAATAAACCGTGCATTTACGGTAAAGTTCAATGGTTCAAGGATGCGCAATCGAATGTTTGCTATCTTAAGTGTGTAATTACGTTGGATCACTCTTCGTGTTCGATTTCCGAGATATCAACAGCAGGCAGCGATTCCCACAACGAATCGTTTGTCATGAGAATGCTTTGATAATTCCTGCCTTCGCCGTCGACGACCTGTCGATTGATCTGACTTTCGAAAATCTTCCGCCTCGCACTGCCAATAATCCATCTCGCCGAATCACTAACCACGAGCTGTCAGCTAATTTCTCGGCTGCCTAACGCGGGGCCCGATGGTACTTCCGTTCCCTCTAACTGCACCGCGGGAAAGGAATCGCTCAAGAGAATTGCATCCCTCTGCACCGCACACGCTAAGTGTGATTAGGGAGCTAAATACGCGTTGGTGGCATCGTGAGCTTTCGCTATAATTAAGTTAAAAAGATCGGACCGATAAATCCTGCTAGTCATCGATAAAAGTCAATTTCAGCGAGATAGTACGTAATCAATGAAACTACAGAAAGTTAAAATGTAATTATTTATATAAATAATAACATTTATTCGCTATATAATAGATTTATATATATGTAATAGTGAGTTAAAAAATACCTCGTTATACATCTCGTTATATCATGCTGTTACCAAATATCCATATTGTACTCAATATCTGATGCAAAAACGCATACGCGCTGTATCCAGGCTTGAACAGCTATAGTCTTAATTAAATTACGCAGCTCGTTGGCATACCTTGCCCGCTATCGATTGTATGCTGCGTTTGGCAGCCATATTGTTTAGACTAATAGCTTCTGGGAATAGGAAGCCCTGGATGAGTACTGAGTAGGGGTGAGATGTATAAAGGGCTCCATGGTGTATAGAGAGGGAAGGAACGGGAGAAGAAAGGAAGATAAGATCCAACGGAGAACATAGAAATAAACGTGCCGGTCTATACTTATTGCAGAAGGCAATTTACACTTTTCTGATTGTATAGACTTGCTGAATTATACCGAGTCAGCGGCGTTTTATCCCGGCATCACAGCGGGCGTTTTTGTGAGCGGGCGTATAGCGATTATTTAGACTAATAGCTTCTGGGAATAGGAAGCCCTGGATGAGTACTGAGTAGGGGTGAGATGTATAAAGGGCTCCATGGTGTATAGAGAGGGAAGGAACGGGAGAAGAAAGGAAGATAAGATCCAACGGAGAACATAGAAATAAACGTGCCGGTCTATACTTATTGCAGAAGGCAATTTACACTTTTCTGATTGTATAGACTTGCTGAATTATACCGAGTCAGCGGCGTTTTATCCCGGCATCACAGCGGGCGTTTTTGTGACGCTCGTATAGCGATTAGAAAAATACACATTTTATTCTCTTCCGTAATAATAAAATGATAAGTTTGGCAGCCATATTGTTTAGACTAATAGCTTCTGGGAATAGGAAGCCCTGGATGAGTACTGAGTAGGGGTGAGATGTATAAAGGGCTCCATGGTGTATAGAGAGGGAAGGAACGGGAGAAGAAAGGAAGATAAGATCCAACGGAGAACATAGAAATAAACGTGCCGGTCTATACTTATTGCAGAAGGCAATTTACACTTTTCTGATTGTATAGACTTGCTGAATTATACCGAGTCAGCGGCGTTTTATCCCGGCATCACAGCGGGCGTTTTTGTGACGCTCGTATAGCGATTAGAAAAATACACATTTTATTCTCTTCCGTAATAATAAAAGTATGAAAATGATATTATATATGAATAATATCGTGATAAAAATTCTTCTTTGCGCATTTCATTCACTATGTGTTCTACGCTTCGTGTTCTTCTACATTTATTCTACGTGTTCTTCCGCTTTTTTGTAAATATTAATATCAATCGCGCGCAGGATGTGTTCACTCAATGCCATCATTTTCCCTTCACGTCCGGTGACGAAATAAAACGTGTATATAAAATTCGTGCCGGAGCACGACACAAGTCCCGCATCAATGGATTGTCGGTTTCCGTCGGATCTCTGGTAACAACAATCACGGGGCATTACAGCGGATAGGACGGAGTGCACGCGAGAGAGGGAGGGACTGAACAGCGACAAGAACGAAGGGCTAGGGCGTCCCCCGTGGGATGGCGAGAAGGACACGGTGACAAAAACTTAGGGGGTCGTAACATTTCTCGATGCGTCAGCCGTAAAATTACAGGGACGCAGGGCGTGTATCGTCCCGTGTGGCGTGAGCGCGGCAGTAAATCAGAATTGCAGAAATGCTAATGCAAAAATTGGTCAAGTAAACGATCCAAGAGGAAAGAGATGGTAACGAGATAAATATTGGTTGTCTTTTTATTAATCATCCGTTTTAAATGCAGTTTCTCTCGGTCTATATACTTCACATCATAATTGTATTTCATTTCTAAATTGAGGTTGAAGAGCGCATTTATGTATAGTGCGCCCGTTTATTAGAGCCAACTGTGAAACATATCGTTCTCCATTGCATAAAATAATTCACAGCTGCTGGTGATATATGAATCAAGCTCTTTTAGATTCAAAAACAGTTACGATCGGTTGGATATTTATTATCTGTATTAAAAATATAGCAGCATCATCAATACGGAGGGTTCTTTAGTCGTCGGATTAATCACCGCGGCCGTTTGTTCGTATGAGTCATGGCCGTTGGTTCTTTGTGATCGTAACGAGAGTCCGCCGCGGTTCAATAGCATAAATATACTTGGAGTAATGTCCGAAACTTCTATAATCAGGCGTGATTTATGGGCAAAAATCGGTGGCTTTATAAAGCCTGAAAGGCGCCGCCTAGCTTTGGAGGCGGAGGTGTCGGTTAAGATAAGTTTGCGCGCGTCGGGCTAAATACCTGATCTAACGACTCATCGCGCTATAGACAAGCACAGGCGGCGCAATACCAACCTGTCACTGAAGGCTTTATTGTGATCTGTGAATCGACTTTACGGTCACCTTATATTTATCATTAGTACGCTCAAAAACTGTTAACATTATATAATGGACTATTGATCTCGGGTCGGGATGATTTCATTTTAATTCTTTCGTCATGGAGAGAAAATCATGGAATCCTACTTATTCGATATATCACGTGAATCGTGCACATAATCACCGTACGCGTTAAACAAGAATTGTTACAACCCACGTATCAATCCATATTTCTTAATTTTTATTACTGCTCTTGTACTTATTTACGAGCGCAGTATTTTTCGCGGAAATTTACGCGCATGTACCACTGACAATGAATTTGTTCGCGCGTAGTTCAGGGTAAGATGATTTGGAAGCGGTTAACGTCGGCAGAGTCCTCGAGTTTCCCGGTGGCCTAAATCACGGTGAGCTATATAAATTATACAGATATCTCTCAATCAGTGTCGCTCAGAGGGAGGCGAAAAAATCGCGCGCATTCGTGGAAACTATAATACTAATCTCCTCGCGACAAACATATCTGGATCTTGGCCCACTATTCAACGCCGGTACGTCCGGGCGGGTTTATTATTGCTCACGGAGCGCTGCAACACACACACAATTGATCTAAGAAAGCGCACCAAGAGCAACGCACAGCGAGACGAGATTACCGTAATAAACATAGTTGGTCTAGCTCCAAGTCAGTTTATTGCTGAATCTTGTTTCCTACAGCGGGTTAGGGAAAGCGCGAGCACAATCCTTGCCGGATTCTCGTCGGGGACTTTTCGCGACGCGACCGACCATCACGGTGGACGAAAATCATGGTCGTGATGATTTGCAACCGCAGCGTGAAACGTTACGGGCCGTACTTGCAGTCATATAACTGCAATTTCCGTGCGAGCGACGGGACGTTTATATATGTCTTTATAACTGATATAATTATCGTATTTTATAGTGGAGCGCGCGATTATGCTGGGCAGATTTTTCGTCATTTCCGCTTATATTCAGCGACGTTTGAAAAGTTTGACCAACATAGCAAAGTATAGAAAATATTACCAAATGAAGAGAAGTATTTGCTTAACGACCGGGATTATAAAAGTATCTGCGTACATTGACCCGATCCGAAAGAGAGATAACGCTATCGAGAAGCGCGACACCGATTTCAAAACTCGTGGCGGTCTTCGCACGTGGCAGCTCTACATCCTCATATCTACAGAATATTAAACAGTAATTAATGACTGATGAGATTTACAGAGGTCACGAAAAGAGATCAGCTGATTATCGGTCTATCCGTGCTGAGAATCTTGTACAGATTTTTACGCACAAAAGCTCTACGAGAAAGATATATTTATCGATCGACATCTGGAAAGTTATAGATAAAACATTTTTAAATTTTTAATCATATAATTATATAATCTCAAGTTAAACTTTTATTTGTACTTAAAACATTATGAAAATATGGTGCCATGTGTTTAACATTTTTTTATTATATGTATATATTTTATATCGCGCTGTAAAAGAGATCTTTAATTCTCTCGTCGCAGATATTTGAAATGTATCGTATTAAATTAAAAATTCGCTCGTTTTAAGTTACACTTGGCCGTCCCAATAGAGACCGAAGAATTGGATCGGTTTCCACTTGCGAAAGAACGGTTCCTTTGCCACGAACACGCGCGCCCGACTCTTTTTTAATTACCTCGGTGAGGAAATTGGCGACGATGCCTTGCTGCTACGAACATCGCGTATCTCACCGTCAATTAAACAGGCTGTACCTCGCAACTGTATCTCCATCCGCAAAGAAAGACAAGAAAAATACTCTTTGTACACAGGTGCAGAGAGAATGTCCGCGCGAACGAATTTCATTCATTAGCGTTGACACTTGTGCGTCGATTTTATCAGATTTTCAGACACGCCTCGCTCGTCTCCTATCACATTTTGACAGCTTGCGCGCGAATGGGATTTTCGGATGCAAACGTATTTTTGTTCTTGATGACGGATTTGAAAAAGAAAGTGCTGTCTGCGCAGTATCAAACTCTTCGGCATATTTTATATTATACGAGTTTTGCCGTGCCTCTAATTAGACTACTTAATAATTGTTTAATCAACGTTTTATTAGGCGTTTAATAGTACATTTAGATACATGTGAGATAATTTGAATGCCTACAGAAAGATACGAACAAATATGTATATACGTATCTTGCTTATCTTTGAAATCACCATGAACGCGTTCGAGGACGACTCACCTACGAAATATCAATTCCTTTTTTAATGAGCATTGTCTTAAGATATAATGAAATTATTGGATATATTTATCTCGATGAAATTACTTAAGTATATATATGATATAACAAAATATTCGCAACTCTCTCAATTTTCCTCGCGTTAACATGGCAATTTCATGAAAAAAAAATCGAGTTTATGCAATTGTCCGTCGCCGTTGTGCATTGATTTCCACGCGTGCGTGTACGCGCACTTTGCACAAACCGTGTGCGATCGCGAGTCGCGACGCGTAGCTCGCGCTCGCTCCCGCGAACGCACAATCGGATGAATTTCTTAAGTCACCGTCGCGCGGGCTCCCACGAAATCGTTCCAGATTTTGCAATCAGGCCCATTGTCGGCGTTTCTCTCCCTTATATCCGCGCGCGCGCTGCGTGCGCGGCCGTGTGTGCGCGGATCGCGCCGCGTGCACGTGCATGCGCCGAGACAATTTTACGGCGCGAATATAATTGCCGCTTGTACACGGGGGTATATGGTTTCCTTTCCGGCGAGAAACACGCACGGGTATCGCGAACATTTCCTTCTCTCGTTGTCGTCGTCGTCGCCCATTGTATTACCGCGCGCGGCCGCGATTGTTCTCTCCTTTCGTCGTCGATTCCCCGTAACCGGTCTTTGATGCCGCGACGCGATCGGGACGCACGTCGACCGTGACGTTTCGCCATCCGAGGTGAGACGGTGCGGTGACGACGCGCAATCGCTGAGAAAAGTATGGATTTAGTGCGCAAAGCTCGCAACACAATGCGCGACGTGCCGCGACGTGTTGCGTAAACGACTGGGCCATTTTCCAAGCGACTTATCCCGCCGTCGAGACTTTTCAGACCGTGGGAGATTGACGCGTGTGTGAGCGATCGAAATAGCGATGAGATGAAAATCTCTTATCACCTCGGTATCGTGAATGCGTAATCGTGCTTTCCCTTTTTTTCAGAATAACGCGATTTTCTGCGTCTTTCCTGTTTGTAACGTAACATCCTTTCAAGCTTGATGAAATGCTCCTAAATCTAATTTCGCCGTCAAATCTGCCAACACCGTGCGATACGCGTTACACATTCGCGCTAAAAAATAATTTACACACATACACATACAAAAGTTGATACCCGATTGGGCAAATCTATGGAAAAATGTTTCTTTTAATTGAGAGAAACATTGTGAATTCGCAACGATATCGTTCATTGTGCGAGTTGATGAGAAAGAGTTGTGTTATCTGCAAATATATATATGACAAGCAAATAATTGCGTTCGCATCATCGTATGTTGCACGCACTATAAGGTATCTCTCGCGATTGCATTCGTCCGATAATATTTGTTGTATACGACTACTCTTATTCTAGTTTTCCTATGAGAAAGTTGTGCGGGAGAATGTCGGAACATATAATCAACCAACGCGTGATTCTATATATGATGTGCATGAGGTTTCCCACGTGAAATGCCGCGCAAAGTATGTATCCGCGGAAAAGAAGACGTTAGTGACGCAAGGGACTCATCTCCCACCGACAATTTCCAACGGAAATTGTATTACACTGTCGTTTGATTCGCACGATAACGGTACTGTGGAAAATCATAAAGCGCTATACATATCAGAATTAACGTTTTCAGTAATAATGACGATTGACAAGAATTAGACACTGCAACGAGCGTGGAAGATCAGTGAATCGTAATCGAAAAAAATTTATTCGAATATCTTTGAGATTTAATCAAACCCACTAACGCAATTCCTCGCTTAAAATATCGCCATTGTTACCGGAATTCAAAGGATACATTCCGTTCGATAGTGATAACGCGCCGATTTCGTTAATCGAACCGCAAATGTGGCCTATCCACAGAGAAAACGTAACGGTGACCTCATTTCTTTTATCTCGGTATACCCGCAAATACCATTCCACGTAATGTGTAATCGTTACATGTATGTGCTTCTTCGAATTGGGCGATAAAAAAATTGCCGGTATAATTATAGGAATGGATATTTATATGAGATGATAAAGATTTACAATTCTCTCTCTCTCTCTATAATCTTTTTATTCGCCAGCAGTCCTTCTGACAAGTTTCCAATTACGTTTGCCAAGTAAGAAGATTATTTCATATCGGGTAAATGTAATCAGTGATATCTAGAGCTTCTCGCCTTATAAATATTTCATTAATAGTACAGTTGATCGCGAACGGATTTAAAATTCGTATAGTTCTGTGAAAGAACTTTGTTGCTTTCATATATCTATAGACCAAGACGGCAGGGAAGCATAATCGCGCGAGTTTGTTGGCAAAGATTCAAACTTTGCGACACACAATGCGCGATCGCGCATACACGTCATCGTTCTTTCTTCTGTATTCCCGATTTCACTCGACTATTTTAGATCCATCGAACGATGTAAAATAATGATACAAAACACAGCTACACATTAACTTGATCAACGAATCGTATCCTCCTGGCAAGAGTCATTTTACAATCGCGGAAATACATCGAGTAGAGATCAAATAAGACACATCTTGAGACGCCCAAAGATTATTTCTTCTGTGAAATCTCTGCGATATGTACGCGATTCTTCGCCGCACGTCTCAAATCGCTTTCTCTCGCGTGCGATGCTCGCGAGAGCAATCAAAGACATGATCGATGGTTCGTTCGTCTGAATCTCGCAGCTGATTGGTCAATTAGACGGGAAACACGTAGGAGGACTACACTCCTGCCGATGTGCAGGGGGAAGACCGCAAGGGAGAGGGTCTAGAAGAGGATATTTTAATTATCGTCGTTGAGTATACTTTGCCTTCGGGTTCAGCACGCAGTTATCGATTGCGCGCGTTATTAATTGCTCACGAACATCAAATCATCCTCCAAATATGACTCGCTACCATGTAGGCTAGCTCATCTTCGAGTAAACATCCTTCGCGGGAAAATGAATATGGTTTGCAGGATCAATTTACGATCTTGCAACAATACATATTGGATTAATATACGCGTAATAAATCCTACAATTGTATACGATGCTAGATAAATAACAACATGTTGTAAAATGAAATAATGACAATTTAAAAAAAAATGTGTATAAATAGCAACTGTTATTTAACTAACTTTATTGCGAACGGCATCAAACACGTCGACAATTATTTATGTATATTCTTTGTTTGTAAACTTATTTTTATGTATTATATATTTTTGTTTATATATGTATGTATATTTTTAAGACCACACAAACTGAGTAAGAATACACCACAAGTTGTGCCTCACCCGTAGAGTATGTTTCAGGCAAGGAGCAGGGAATGCCAGCATTTGCACGTGGACCACAGGATGGTGGTCCGCCGGAAATAAATGACGAAAGATTGGCGCATATTCTCTCGGAGTCGAGCCATATGCAAATGAGAGGCGAGCATGAGGTATCGAACGACGCTGATAGCAAGAGCCCGAGTAGGATCGGTTGTCCGAGTCCGTTTAACAAAGACAGACTGGACAGCCAAAACAGGAGACTGAAGAAGTACGAGAACGATGACATTCCTCAGGAGAAGGTGGTGAGAATTTACCAGGAGGAGCTGGCTAAACTGATGGGCAGGAGAGTAGAGGACCTTCGCCCGCGAGAGTTTTCTAGGTAAGATCATGACGTGGATCTGCTTGTCGAAGTTCGAAGTGTCGCAGCTTATACAAGCGACTTATACAAGCATAATCTCTATCGATGAACAATGATGATATATAATGATTGAATTAAAGCATTAATATTTTTGCTCGAATATATATTATGGTAAACCAAAATGTCAAGAGCAAACCGCCGTTCCGAGACGTAACAAGAGAAATTTTATTGAATAGTGTATCTTTTCCTTGTATTAAAAATGATCGATGAGCTCGAATATGACGTAGATATACATCTCGATTATAACTTAAGAAAGATTTTTTCATGCGAGACGTATATAATTTAAAGACTCGATGCCGGATGACGTCTGTACAATATTCACGTATGACTGCGTTATCGCGATTGATTATTATTGAGGACAGCACATGACCTCGATTGACCGTAGTGCGATCTTTCCACATTTTTTCAGTGGCACTCAAGGTGGTCTTCAAGGTATCGAGCGCACTCAGGAAGACATTCGAATGGCATTGGATGCTTATCATCGTGAGCTTCAAAAATTGAACGCTGCACCAGGTCAGAATCCGTCGATGGCCGGATTGCCAGGATTACCTGGGCTTCCGGGCTTGTTGGCGCTTCAGCAGCAAGCTCTTCAGCAACATCATTTAGCCGCTAATGGCGGCGGCGGCGGTGGCGCTGTTCAAGATTTGAGTTTAGGCAAAATAGATCCGCGCAATAAAATGATAAACGGCGTCTCGGAGGAGGAGAAAGAAAAGATGGAAGAGGCGATGAGACATGCCGGTAGCGCTTTTTCCTTGGTGAGGCCGAAGCAGGAATCGACGGGCCCTCAATCAACACCCGGCGGTTCCAGCGCGAGTTCTCCCCTGGGCAATTCCATACTTCCCCCTGCGATGACACCTAACGAAGAGTTCGCCAGTGCGGCGGCAGCCAGTCCCTTGCAGAGGATGGCTTCTATCACAAATAGTCTGATAAGTCAACCGTCCACACCAACCCATCACTCGGCCAACCAAAGGCCTTTAAAAGCTGTGCTTCCTCCGATTACGCAGCAGCAGTTCGACATGTACAATAATCTAAACACTGAAGATATCGTGAAAAGGGTAAGTTGTATTCTTCATTGAACATATCGTTATCGACCTTATCATTATCGCGTTCATATAATTTATTAATCGTTTTGATTAGATGTAAGGCTTAGGGGAGATGTGTGTATTGCGGTTATTATTTGAATACAGAAGAGATTAATTATATTTTGTTTGATTTAAATTTATTTTTAAGCGATATAAGATTTTGTTTTTATTTTGTTTTGTAGTTATTTCGCATTTGAATTATTATGTTATTATTTTATATTATTTTATAAAGCAATTGTTATAAATATAAAACTGTTGTTTTTTGTAACCCTCAGGGGATCAAATAAAGAATCTAATCTAATTAATCGCTTTTATTATATCTAATTTTAAATATTTACTAATAATGTACAGGTGAAAGAACAGCTGTCTCAATATTCGATTTCGCAGCGGCTATTCGGCGAGTCGGTATTGGGTCTGTCTCAGGGATCAGTGTCGGACCTCCTCGCGCGTCCCAAACCATGGCACATGCTGACTCAAAAAGGTCGCGAGCCCTTTATTCGTATGAAGATGTTTCTTGAGGACGACAACGCAGTACACAAGTTGGTCGCAAGCCAGTACAAAATCGCTCCAGAGAAGCTGATGAGGACCGGCGGCTACGGCGGCCTGCCTCGTAAGTTTAACTCAGGTCAATATAGATGTTTTGTTACTTTATTATCAACATAGTTTGGGAGCTCTGTTGTATGTCTGTCAAACACGACATCCCGATGATGCGTACTTGGTTACGATGAAAAACGATGTTAAACAAGCATGACATTTTTACAACATATAGATGCAACTTCTTTATTTTATCGTAGAATTACTTGAGTATTGTATGACCTTCAACAGAAATGAATAAAATAGAAATTGCATTCTGACGTCTGTAGGAAATGAGCTTTCGAACTATGAAATTTTAGTTACATCTGCTGAATTTTCTTGATCGAATTTTTCATTGTTATAGCGTGTGGAACACCAATGAAACCTATGCCGCCGACGAAACTCGTACAAGAACAGCTACAAAACGCAGCGAAGGCGCAGGCCGCCGCTCAAGCAGCTGCGCAAGCAGCGGCGGCGCAGCATCAGCAGGAGAATCAGATGCAGCTCGGCCCGCCTCAGCAAAGTCCTCAGCTTCCGCAACATCCGCAACCGCCGCCACCGATGATGTTGACCCCGCCCGGACCTCATCATCCGCACACTCAGCTCAGCATGCAGGAACTGCAAAAGAAACAACAACAGCAGCAGCAACAAATGTCACTGCATTCGCCGCATCATCAGATGGCACCGTCACCTCTTCGAAGTCTTCATCCGCATATTTCACCAAGCGTATACGAGATGGCCGCTCTTACGCAGGATCTCGACACACAGACGATTACCACGAAAATCAAGGAAGCGTTATTGGCGAACAACATCGGCCAGAAGATCTTTGGCGAAGCAGTTCTCGGTTTATCGCAGGGCTCCGTTAGCGAGCTGCTGAGCAAACCGAAACCGTGGCATATGCTCAGCATAAAAGGCCGGGAACCTTTCATCAGGATGCAGCTTTGGCTGTCAGATGCGCACAATATCGATCGACTCCAGGCGTTGAAGAACGAACGACGGGAGGCAAACAAGAGACGACGCAGTAGCGGTCCAGGTCACGACAATAGTTCTGATACTTCGAGCAACGATACTGCCGAGTTTTATCACGCGGCATCACCTGGCCCGGGACCCACTACCGGCAAAAAGCAGCGTGTTCTCTTCTCGGAAGAG